GGGCGCTGCGCAGCGCTGGCCACCAGGCGTGGATACGGGGCAGGAACCTCTTGGTCAAGAACAAGCGAAGACATTTATTAGAGCTGCACGCGAGAGGCCCGAGGAGGCACGCCGGACGGCGGGACAGGGCGCGTGCACCAGCTCTGGTGCTGCTCTGCCAGGCCTACAGCCCCAGGCTTAGGCGCCAGACAATCTCCACTACACACAGAGCAACACACAGCAAAAAACCAAAAACCAAACCCAAGAGCTAGGTCTCCCACGTCTGACATCCAGCAGGCACCCTTGGTGTATCGTCCTAGAGGCCACCAGCCCCAGGAGGGCCATGATGCTGGACCTCTGAGCAGGACGGCTGGTACAGAAGAGGTTGACCCACTGAGCAGATGTCCCAAACGCCTCAGAAGATCCTTTCCGCAGGCTTCACACGGCTCTCCAGCACGCAGGATCTGAAGATAGCGAAACAAGTCCATAACCAGCGAGGAACTGCCCTTTCCACAGAGAAGGTCCCAGCTTCTCCTCCACAAGTACCAGCGGTCCCTCTTGCAGCCTTTCTTCCACTGTAACAGGCCAAGACTGACGTAAACCGTGTAGGGCTGAGCTTTGCTTTTCCTGGCGTGCGTCTCGGCGCGGTTTCTGGGTTCAGGCACTAGAGCTGTGGTGCGTTTTTCCTTCCAACTGGGGATAAAGCAAACGCGCCGCTCCCAGGTGAGAGCATCTGTCACAGTACGTCGCTAACTCTACCTTTGATAAAGTCCTTGCTTTTCCCACACAAATCTCAGCTTTAAGATGTAAAAATGTATTCCGTGTTGGAGAAAGATTTATGTTCTCTCCATATAAATGGAACAGCACCTGTAACAGCTTTGTTTCCCTTCTCCAGTGCCAACCACTACGCCAAGGCTGATCTTTTTGCACAGCAGACATTTCGCCCTGCAGGGAAGGGAACTCCTCCTTGTCCCTCCCTATCAAAATAGTTTAGTCCAGGTAAATAAAAATATACTGGAAGGCTTGACAGGGTTTTTCATGGAAACTTCCAGCACAGGAGGCCCACAAAGAAAGTTATAGACAGGTAGGTGGAAGCCTGCAGTGACTCCACTACAGCGACGCTCACAGTCGCCGGCCACGGGCTGCTTTGGGCAGCTGTCCCCAGGACACCCGCCGAAGTGCAAGGCACTCCTAGCCAACAGCAAGCAAGGCTTCTGCACATGAAAAAGAAATCCAGACAAAAAGTAACAGCCTGCCCCTTCCCCAAATCTAAAGTACCTCTTTTTTTCCCTATGACTGGCAGCTGGTCGTACCCCTCAGCAGGATAGCTGGATCAGTGCTGCTCATGCACTGACATGTCATTTTATTTAGCTTTTACATGCAGGGCCTCCTCTTACTTGGGCTCTGATATATGTCCAGGCGCTGTTCGAACAAGACCCCGGATCCGTATTGGCAGCACACAGTGCAAATCCGCCAGCCACATGAATAATTCAGCCTCAGCTATGGATCTGCTTGTGCCATCGCCATAGTAATAAATGCAGTGACGTCCCTAATGCGGCAGATTATATATAAGCATTCCAAATCTCTTTAGAAGATTAGATTTTATGGGGGTACTAGAGGGACATCGACTAATAAACGTGCTGGAAAAACAGCGTGGGAGGTGCGGCTGTTATTGTCACGTACATCACTTGGAAGCTCTCCTCCACTGCCCAAGTCTTGACACCTTGAGGAGAAAAGTGGCAACAAATTTTTGCCTGACTGTTCAGACACTTGAAAATGAGGTTAAATAACACAGACCACAGATAATCCTTCACCAGCTATCACCAAGTTTTTCCTTCTCTGCTCCCAGGTACATCAGCCTCTAGTTCCCAAGAGGACTGTTTGAACACTGCTATTCCTGCTATTTTTTGAAAGCACGGACCCTGACTATCCTCAGTAGCAACTATACATTAGAAAAGCATCGTGCTGAACAACTTATCCCTAAGTCAAGGGATAAGAAATTGCTAAGCAATTACTTCTTACGATTATTTTCCACTAAATTTTCTTAATTCAGGTTTGCCAAATAGTCACCTAATTAAAAAAAAATACTTAACATTTCAAATAGTTCAGTCAAAGTCTACACCAAAAATAGTTCATTAGCAGGGCATGAATATGAATTTTGTTTAAAATAATCCCTGGATGTTTTGATATGCAAAAGGACACCACTAGCAGCGGCACCGATGAAAACAGCCTTGTCTAGTACATCGGTGAGTGCCCAAGAGTCCTAGCATTGGGCAGTTTTTTACCCTGCCAGCAGCTTGCTTGGATAATCTTCTTTACCTAACACAGAATAGACGGGACGTTACTGGGGTGTTGTTATGGTTCGTTTTTACCTTTCAGTTGGTTATCCCTGCTTTGGAGGCAGGGAAAGCCAAGACTCCAGTTTTAATCCATGCTAAAGTTCCTCAGTCAAGTCTGTGTCCGAACTCGGAAGAGACCGGCGGCTGCCAGAGCCGGGCGCTGGAGAACCGGGCACTTCCTGGCCGCAGGCCCCGCATCCTGCGGGATCCCCGTAGGCCTGGCAGAGGTGACAGACGGGTACCCAGCGCTGCAGTTCGAAAATTCACATCTTCAGAGACAGCAGAGTAAACCGCTGTTAGAGTATGCAGAGCCATTTCCAACCTGAAGTCATGTCATTCTTCTACGTACACAGTACTTTTCAGAAGATGCTGCAGCACGAAGAAGAGATGGATCAAGTATTTCACATCTCTAATAGCTAATAAGATGCTGTGACTCAGTATGTTAGCGTTTGAGAAAGGCACCGCAAATTCAGCCCGTTATTAATCTTCAGCACGACAGATTGGCTCTCTCCTCCAACACCTGCAGTGCAAAATGCTGGAGATGCGGAAACTCAACGTAAAAAAGCTAACCAGCCACTTTAAACCCCCACCGCACACTGAACTTCCACCCCGGCTCTGTGCGTGTCCCGCTGTAGAACTACCTCTCCTCCTGCCCTCCGCTGTGCGGATGTCCCCGGCTGCCCTCGCCTATGAGCACTGCAGCAGCCTGGGACCTCCACGAGCAGGCTGGCTCACTTCCTTTTTTTTTTTTTAAATACTGATGCCTGTTCCATCATCTAAGTGCATGTGAAAGAAGTACGTATGTATGTGCACCAGGCACCTAGAACTAGAGAACCTCAGGCAATACTCTGTATCAGCAAATTATCATGAATACAGCTACTCATTTTGCAGCTGTACCTGTCACTAGTTACTTCCATCCATACAGCATCTTCAGCCCAGCAGACTGATTCACTCGAGTCGTTGCTGAAATACTGTCCCTCCTGGGCTGCAGTTACTTAACAGCAAGCCCAGCATGCATCACATACACAAACCAGAATGCATTCAGGCAACTGAGCCTTTGACTTCCCATTAAAAACTAAGAATAAAAAACTAACCTGATCCCACTTTTTCCTATGTTTTTTGCGGCACTGGCTCTGCTCAGATTCTTATGAAGTATAATCAAGAGACTTAGCAACTGCTATCAATTCAGTCTGCTCTGCAGAGCTACTGTACCATGCAGTCTCTTAGCCCTGTGCAGTACCTACCCCGCAAACTTGGCTGTTATTTCTACACTGGAAATGTAGAAAACAGAAAGGCATGACTTGGCCAGAGCAGGACAAGGACGACTGAGAAGGAAAAATTACAGAGGAACAGGAGAGCAGAATCCCCCGGACTTAAAACACAGCAGGGAACCTCAGAGAAATTTTTTATCCCAGAGGGGAAACATGTCCAAATGGCTAATTACTATCCAGGTCCTTAGATTCCCTTGAGGATTTCAAGCCCACAAATAAAGGGGTTCTTGTCCAAGAATGAAAGGGCACTGTCACTTCCTGGTTGCTCTTCCACTTGGCATAACAAATAAGATGAGTGTATCAAGAGGTACAGGCAGAGGAAGCAGTTCTCCGGGTACAAAGCTGAATTCTTCCCTGTAAGGTTAGGGGATAACATACCTCCTTCTGCAAGACGTGCTCTAGGAGGTTGGCATGGTCATGGTTGATGTCACGTCCAAAGAGAGTACACCAGTTCCCTGCTGTACTATTTTGGGATCCAGCTCAGTACAGGAAAAACACACCCAGACAAACAACTGTTAACAGTCTCAGGACCTTGGTGTTCCACCCAGTATTGACCTGGACCAGCTCTATTCACCTGCGAGCACATGACTGGAGACGCCCACTGCTGCATTAGTATTCCTTTGTTACTAACAGGCAGTAAGAGAACTAAAACACTCTTTTGTTTGACTTGAAAACATTCTATTTAATTTATACAAATAACTACTAAATAGAAAAAGTAGATTAAAACAAAATAGTTATTTTTCTGGCAGAGTTTAAATGCATATTATATAGCTTAGAAGAAATAAAATGCATTTTCCCCACGGCATTCATGACCTAAAATTCTAGTTAACTCCTCCATTGCTTTCCTTTTCTAGATCAGTAAGATACTAGACACAATGTCATGTGGGTAATGGCTATATATATGTTCGTATTTGAACTGAAAATATGTTACAGACCACACAGCTACAAATGTGAAGCACTTAAAACGTGACTATCGAGTTGTAATATGATAATACAGAAAACAATTTATGTTTCAGGTTATATTGTGTTACAAAAACATCTGTGTAAGAAATCATGAGAGAGGCCACATAAAAATAAGCTTTAACTTTATGCACTTATTTTACAGTTTAAAAAACTGGCAAGTGCACTAGTAATAAATAATTTGCAAGTTTTGTATAAACGAGAAATTCCTAGTGTTCAGCATTATTGTAAACATCAGTACACATGTAAAATGCAGCTAAAATCTTGACAGTTACATTTTCAGTTTACCAAATTCATTTCCTATTATTCAGGCATAGATCAATGTAGTATACAGCCAATCATATTTTTGGCAAGTCATGTCATTAAAATTAACAGTGACAGTGCAAGTAAGGAATGCAAAGAATTCCTAGTGCAATAAAGAAGAGAAGCACAGGCAATATTGCTGATTAAAATTTACCACTTCCATGTGTTCACCCTGGGAGTGATTAGGAGAATTAAAAAAAAAAAAAAAGAGGAAAAAAAAGCTGTTCAAAGCCATTATTTAATGCCCTGATCTTGTCTTAGGATTTCTCTGTCTTCCTTCAGGCCACTACCTTTGCAACAGTACATCCAGCGTGAGTCCTTATAGCTTGACCATTTGTGAAATGCCCATGGTAGTCACTGAGCAAAGTCCACATGGTTCCGATGTCTCCCAAACAGATGGCTTGGTAAGAACTGCCTCTATAAGTAGCCACATGGGGACCAATCGTATAAACTGTCTGGCCAGACTACTTCTGAACCAGACAAATGCCTTCCTATCAGGAGAGCACCACGAGAAGAAGGTCAACAGTCAGCTTTCAGTTTATCTAAGGAATTATCAATTTTGGTCAAAGTCTTTTTGATTCGCAGGGCTGTTAGTCTCGCTGATGGATTTTGATACCAGCATTCTTTCATCAACTTGGCAAGAGATGTTAATGTCTGGGAAAAGAATAAAAACAAAACATGCATGTAAGTACACAAATCACAAGCGAAGAAAGCACTAGATTGGGTTAAACACTAACACAATAAGGTTTTATTGCCTTATTAATACTCAATTTTCAGAGAGTTTACTGGTATCTATCTATCAAACATACAGCTTTCACATGTTGAAAAAACACCCCAGGTTTGTCTAGTTATTCTCTTGGTTTAACCAATTTATCAAAGGGCTGTCTGGAGTGACAAACTAGCGTAATTTTAAACAATGGAATTTTGGGGATTTTTCCTAATTAAGAACACACTCTACAGACTCTCCTTTCAATGAAACTGACTCCTGCAGGATCCATGAAGGAAGCCAGAGAAGGTACAGATTTTCTGTCTGTGATCTTGTCGGGTCCAGCACAGGTTTAAGCGGCTGCGATTCACAGCTGGCTGCTGCGGCAGCACGGGTCATGGCTCTACAGCCAAAGCCTTATAGACAGGACCTCCCATCCTTGCTGGCCCTAGCCAGCCACACAGATTCAAACCCAGCTCCGTAGCTTCAGTAATAAGGAACAAAACAGCTGGTCAACTTGGAGAGTCCAGACTGATTCTGATGAAGAAAAATAAATTTCAGCACTAGCCTTTCAAAAAGAACAACAGTCCCTGTAGGCCAGAGACCAAAATTCTGTTCTAAATCTGTGCACTTGCAAGCCACAAAGGCCTACACAGGCTACCTTGCCCTTAAAGAAATTCCCCCTTGGAAAGAGAATAACGACATAGGAAGAGCAGCTTTAAAATAGTTATTGTTAAATCATGCTACTAAAAGGCTAATCTGTGAATAGCTCAGGCTTAACAGTCCTAAGTTTGCTCATTGCGTTTTCTTCCTGCTCCAAGATGAAATGTCCACGCCAGCACACTTCCGAAATCTATACAGGTAATGCTCATGACTAGTAGCATTGGGATCATTTCAGTTTCAAGTGATGACTTAAAACAACTTTCATGACTATTTCAAAAAAAGAAAGGTCAGCTCGTATCTTCTGCAAACCACCCACAGGCACAGGCACACCCACTTACAGGGTCTGAGAACCATCTGTTGGGAATGTTCGGCCTTTGCTGATCTACACAGACCACTTTTCTCATGTCTTCAAAACTGGGGTCGTTTGGAACCAAGTCATAAAATGGTGGTTTGTAGTCTTCCACAATACCTAGTGAGACACAAACAAGAGAGGCATTATTTAATGACTGTGTCAGTGAAACAGCATTTATGCACAGAAGGAGAGAACAGATGACCCAGCCATCTAAGAAGCACAAAAATCTTTTAACACCACAGCATCAAACAGCCATTAAACAACAGAATAGCACTTACTATCATAGGAACAGCTTTTTCTACCCAAAATGTTAATTAATTGGCTCATATTACAATTCTACAAAGTAAGAACTATATCAACTTGCAGGACTTGAGCTGAAATGACAAGAAAAATTCACTTGCCAAAAAGTCTTTTATAATGCATGGAGGTTTGCCGACTACCTCAAAACTGGGATTTCTACCAGCAAATGAAAAAAATGTAAGGTTTGCATTGTGGTTTTTAATAGGCTTCCACACACTGTGCATTGTTTTATGATTCCTGAAAGAGTCCAATAAGCATGACAGCATTTACAGACCTCCACGCTAGTGCTTCAAAGAATTTTATTTCTTGTTATTAAAATAGTAAAATACCTAGGATAATTGGCACCACATGCCATCAACAAAGCCAAACATCTAAGAGCCTGTGGCACGGGGTGTCTGAATGCATTTTTTAGGATTCTGCGTTGAAAAATGAGTTTGTGGATCTGCTCTCACAACTTGTCGCTCAGCTTGCATAAAACTGGGAGGCTAAAAAGCCTTTTGCCTACTCTCTAAGGCATGCATGCAGCACTGCTGTTTCATCAGTGGATTAAGCTCACAAATGATCTATAGGGAGCTCAACTTTCTTAGGAAGCCAATTTAAAAACTGGTGTCCAAAGACAGGCATTTGGGTCAGCAGCTTGGAAAAACACCGAGCGAATGAGGCCCTCTGTGTACAGCAGAGAAACATGGGCAGAACAATCTTAAAACTGCTTTTTAGCAGACCGGCAGCTGTCCCACAGTCAGATGTACATGAAATCCTGGAGAATTTCTGTTGCTTTGGATATACTGAAGTTGAAAAGGGTTCTCAAACTTTGCTACAGTGGTTGGGATTTAGTTTTCTTGTTCTACCAGAGATGAAGATCAAAATCCCACAGATCCTCTAAATATCTGTAAATCCCCATTTGTGATGGCTAATTAAAAAGGGAAATTGGCCTTCAGAAAATTACAGCTCCCTTAGAAAAATAGCAGGGCAGTTCGAAGATCTGGCTACCCAGGCAAGTTATACCTTAACAAAGTAGCTAGCAGGCTGCAGGGTTCGCCCTATGGTATTCTGACACGGATGCGGAAGGACTGACCACATTATGTGCTGCATAAAGAAGCATCACCCACCCTCCTCCTTTAAGCAACTCATAATTGCATATACCAAACACCACCTACAGGGCTGAACTCTTGTTTTTACTCTCCTCCTGCTTCCTCCCAGAACACAGAATAAAGTTTATTGTGAGAACTCAAGAATACAAAAAGCCTCTTGTGTATCCACATTGTCTATACTTCTGGTTCAGATAAAGTAGCAGCTTTACACAAGTCAAATGCAGAGCTTCAGAGCTACATCACGTGGCTCAAGACTTTTCCAGGGTCATTAGGATACTACAGATGAACTTTATCACTAGAAGAGAGTCTGGAAAGACCACGTGAAAACAGTAAATTAGCGCCAAAGTACAGGGTACACAACTGGCTATTTCAGGTAAGACATACAGTAACAAATCCGAAATGATGGGTCCAGCCTTTACTGCAATAGTGATTCTAGAGTACTCGATCTACCACAGCCAAACGTCACAGGCCCCGCGGGACCCCCGCTGGCTCCGCAGCAGCCCGTCAGCAGTGCCAGCGAGCCACTGCAACCTCTAGCCCACCCCGCTCCGCTCGCAGAACTGTCACTGAACTGTGACACGCTTCCCTCGCCCACTGCCCCGGGACAGCCAGCCAGCCGCTCGCTCCGAGGGAGACCCGAGGGTCACACGGCACGACCTAAAGCTTGCTGCTTTCTGGACAGTTTTAAGATGACTTCTTTAATTTGCAATATATTGCATTTTTTCCCCCGGGGTTGCTGGCTTTTTGCTATCCGAATCAACTAGAACTTACACACACAGTAGCATTTCCTTCACCTTTATTCCTCCTTACTTTAATGTCAGTTTGTCCTGCGCATGCACGAATCTAACTGCTGGAGCAAAGCAAGACCTACGCAGACCCCTAAGCCCTGCAGATGTAGCGATGATCACATACCAGGAGTGGCTTTGAGCAGTAACCGTCTTTCAGCTTCTGGTGTTACTATTAAAATTGAACAAGATCACAATACTGGGAATGAGAGTTGACATGTTCTTGTATCAGAACAATACCTACTCTTTTTGCTGCATACATCTTCAGGTAACCCCTCTGACAGTGAAGGGAGAAGGGGGACGAGGTGAGGAGCTCAGCTTTGGCCACCCCACAGAAAGCCTATGCAAGTGCCCTTCCGCTCCTGCAGTCAGTCCCGTCACTGCCACCGGCTTCCAGCAATTCAGGAGCTGCTCACTATAGACCCTTCAAGTTAAATTGCACCAAAACAGCAGTCCACCTGCACAGATTACCCTGCTCTCTTGATCACAGAGAAATGCCAAAATGGTTCTCTTCAGAGCTAGCAAAGCAAGCTCTTAGGCTTACAAGGAGACTTAAATTAGCCACCTGAGTCTACCTGATGCGTTCTGCTACCTCCAAGTCAGCTTTGTTTAAGCACCCTGTAAGTATCCTAGAGAAGACAGCGGCTTTGGACAGTGCTCCAGGCCCCAGGGAATCTCACAGCAAGCTTGGAAGGTCTGCAAATCTTCTCAGAAGTGTCACCTTCCAGCAGCCTTCTCATATAAGAAGCCTCATTGCAGCGTTTCTGGAAACAACTAGCCGCCTGTGGCTGCTGTGCTGAGAATTACCCTGAACAAGGGAGCAATACCTTTTCCGCCCACCCCCCTCATATTCACAGTTAAGTTATTTTGGCCGCCAACAGATAAAAGTAAGTAAAAGGTTCATATTTAGAAGACCTTTGCTTCGATAGAACAACAACATTTTTTTGCTTCTAGAGCTGCGGCACATTTGCCCGTCCTCTCTCCCCCCTCTCCATAGTCCAGTGTAACACCAGTTGGACAGGACCTTCCTTGGGGTCAGGGAATGGAGGGAAGATAATGCATGAGAAACAATATGAGGCTAGTACCTTAACTTCCACTGAATTTGAGCCAGGGTTTGTTACTCTGTACTAGCTACCACAAGCGTTCACTGTCATACCTTACTGCAGCCTACCTCTGTCCACTCCGTGCTTCTCTCCACAAAACCACTCATACTCCCTCCTTTGGGAGGTAACTGCTCTTTGAGAACATCTCTAAAGCTATCTTAATCCTTTCCTCCAAAGTCTTCCCTCAAAATTTGACTTGCAATAGCTCTCACCAAAAAAAAAAAAAGCACCCTCAATTCTTCTGACTGCTGCCTATCGTTCTGCCCATGTCTCCTTCAGACAAGTTCATACTTGGATCCTAAGCTGGCAGGCACCCCAGCTGGCACCAGCCCTTCCTGCCCTGTGGGGTTCCAGCCTACTATCAGGGCTCAGAGGTACTGCAGCAAACAGATGACTAGTTGTCCTTTCCTGAAGAAAATAAACCTGTTGTCTGATGTCAGTTACAGAATCCCAAATTTGGATTTAGCAGGAATAGATCAGACGCAGAGCAAATAAGTGCGCACAACGATTCAGAATTTCCTCAGATTTAAACACATCACGGTGAGCAATCCACCACCGCCAGTGTCTGCACACACGCCTGAATGGCATCTTCTGCATTTGCCTGTCCGCTTGGGTCCAGTGAGTACAACCTGGGGTCCAGCAGTCAGAAAGGGCTCCTGAATTGACAAGCGCAAGAAATCACACCAACAGATACCCAGCTTAAGGTTCTTAAATTCAGACTCCCTTGCCAAGGAAACATGAAGCACACTGTGCACTAGAAAACAGAATTGCAATGCAAGCAAAACTGCACTTTGACCAAGTCCTGCTTTGTGAGTACATTTCACTTGGTAAAGCAAGAGCATCCCTGAATTCTGATCACTTCACTTCCTCCATATTTTCCTTTTGTTCCTTAGGTTCTGTCATAAGAAACAGCCACATAAAAGAATTCACTATGGTTTAATGACACATAGGAGAAGTTTAGAAACTTTATGATCTAAAATTTCAACTTAAGTAACCATTTGGTATGAATTATTTCTCATCATGATTTAAGGTGTAGCAGGGGACCCTCTTTTTTTCCTACCTTAACAGAAATGACAATGACACTCAGCCACTGTACCCAACATATCAACAACTTCAACACAAGCAGCAAAGTGTCAGCAATCAAAATACTTTGGAGGTCCAGTATTTTACTGTGCATCCTATGCATTTTGGCGGTAGATACTTTGCTGTGAATTACCATTTGCTTAGCCCCTTCTAAAAACAAGTAAAGGAGTCCCAAATACTTACCGTTGCTAACCATGCGTCTAGCTACTTCCCAAAGGACCAGCCCAAAAGCCCAGATATCAACCCTTTTATACGAGTCAAAGCAGTCTGCCTGGATAGTTTCATCCAAGACTTCTGGAGCCATGTAGCGTTTGGTACCCACACGGGGATTGTTCCCCACATCCAACTGATTCGTGCTTTGGGAGTGCATTACTGCAAGGCCTGAAGGACAGAAAGAAAAACCGCTGTTAAGTACTCTTTCAAACTATCGCAGCACACGTTTAACATCACAGGTGAGCAGTGACACCCATTAGACAGTTTCTAAAAAGAAGGAGCTGGGAGTCCAACTGTCCAAAGACCAACTGGGTCAGCTCCAAACTAGCTATCAAAAAATAGCCGCTGTGTCTGTAGACATAGACCAATTATCTCCTCAGGGATTACCGTTAAGCATGTTATTGCACTGTTGCAAAATGCTGTCATTAAGTGTTCTGCAGCCACTGGATGTCACCAGCGCTCTAGGCACGTATACATAGAAGGCCAAACATCTGTTACTTAGAAGAAAACAATTTTACACAGCATTCAAATTTATTTATAGAACTTTGGGGTAGGTGGATATATCTGAACTGCGGGGAAGAGAAGAAAAACACTGCATGATGGATATACACAAGTTAAAAAATAAAGCTAAAAAATAAAAACACCGTGTTTGCAGTAGCTTGAAAAATAAACATCCTCAAGCTGATCTAAAATGAGTCAGTCAAAACCACTCTACCTGGTTTCTACTAATTACTAAACATTTAAGCAAAGAACATGATGTTGAGGCACTAAATTACTATAAATTTGGAAACACACAGAGTACTCATTTTGCCATGGTAAACAGAGAGCACTGCAAATTGAATAGCAACAAGTGCATGACATAACTAAGCAATAGAAAAGATGACACAAACTCTCCCTAATTTCCTCAACAACTCTTGTAAGAATAACATCTACTACTTACATTTAACATTAGTTTATTTTAGGTGAAACTTAAAAAGCTTTAACTCAGTCCTACAAAAAATTAACCTATCACCAGATTATTGGGGTTTTTTCCTTTCCAAAAAACCAGTCTGTATTTCACCATAACAAAAATTTGGAAAACACTTTCCTACAATTTAAATGCACTTCAAGTAATTACAAACTGCTTAGAAAATGATGATGGCACCTCTAGAAAGATACCATTTACTAACCCCATAACTGCTGAGAAGATAATTTGGAAAGCCTACTCTCAAGATAAAAATATTTATTGTCATATACATACACACAGAGGACATATTTACACACACTTATACATTTATGTATTTGTTTATATTAATTTATATTATACAACATGTATGAATTATAGTATTTTTAAAAAAAAACTTGCACACTGGAAACAAAGCTTAGAAAACAAATTTCCTGGCAAACTCTGAAGTTGTCAAGACTTTGGAGAACACTTTGATAAAAGTCGTAATGCTCCATCCAAATTGGGCAAAACAGATTCAATAGATTGACAGGTCAAAGGTTTGAGGCTGAGGGATGCAAGTCAGCATCCCACACACTACAAACTAAGGAAGTGTTGCAATAAGGTCAGGGGACAGCGATGTTGTAATCAGGTTCTGATCATGGTGGCATCTGTGCTGTTTACGAGAATTGGGCAGCAGATATTGCACTGCTTCAGCTTCTTTTCACCTCTGGAGATCTTGATGCACATTTAATTTAAGTGCATGTAAGTGCTTGTCAGACGAGCTCTTACTGCAAGATACTAATTCAGAAGAAGGGACAAAGAAAGCGGGGGGACAAAGAAAGCGGGGGGACAAAGAAAGCGGGGGGACAAAGAAAGCGGGGGGACAAAGAAAGCGGGGGGACAAAGAAAGCGGGGGGACAAAGAAAGCGGGGGGACAAAGAAAGCGGGGGGACAGGAATACAAATTGATGAAACACTGGTTTTCAAGACACCAAAAAAATCCTCTTTAGTATACTGGAGTATCTGCTAGGAACAAAAATTGAGCAAATATGTTTTGTTAGCAGTCTTTGCACCTTCCTTACAAAGACCAGTGTTTCTTTCAGACATTCACTGCTCTATATGGACAGGCAAGGGGATGGAGGGAGTAAGAGGGGGGTTGGGCTTTTTCTTTTTTTCATGTGAGGAGTATTCTGCTGGTCCATAAAGTTGCTCAACTAAGACCTATTACCATGCACATGAATTGCTTTCGAAGTAGAAGGGCAGAACTTTTCCATGGTGCTGACAGATTGAAGCAAGACTGACATCCATCCTTGGACTTTATCACACAGTTTCTGCTTAGCTAGAACACATCTGAAAGGGCCAGTTTTGTAACTGCAACTCTGGATACTTGGATTGCTGTTCCGAGATACTAGTGTCCGGCACGCTTGCTGAAGGACAAGCGGCCAATTCACACAGCTCTTGCACATGAGCCAGCCAGAAGGACCAGGACTGAATGGCCACAAACACCAAGCCACACTGTGGTGCAGGCGCGCTGCACCCAGGCTGCTGGCGACACAGACGATTACAAGACGCCCATCAAAGCGATTTTATCCCTCTTTGTTTTTAGAGTTGACACCTATCCTTAATGGGTACACTGCAAGTCCAAAACCTGGTGTGACCAATAGAACCCAAGTCCAGCTTAGCTCTGGGCAGCTGTAGTGAATCTTTCCACCTGCTCATACTTACCAGTCTCTAAGTGCCATTTTGCTTGTATGGTGCATGTGTCGAAACAGAGGAGGAGACCAGAGGAGGAAAAAATACAAAGCTATACAGGAAAAAAGGGTCTGAATATATGGCAAATGCAACAAATTCTTTGGTAACTCTCCTTTACAGATAAGGAACAAATGAAGAACATGCCATATACATGCCTGAGGATTTCATGTTTAAGAAAATAGCTGTTTTACCACCATAAAAACTGACTGGGAAATGTTTATTGCCGTGCTGTCTCAGGAAAATCTCTCAAACATCTGAAGCCTCTAGATAAATAATTGAGTAGGTTTCACTTTATTAGTGTGATGTCAATCAATGTCAGTATGTGCTTCCCCCTCCTCAGTGGGGCGGGGGGGAATCCACTTAAAAGCCAGTCTCGTAAGTTTTATATTTTCAACTTACTGCTCCATTTTTTACTTACTATTCCCTCTGCAAATTTAGACAGGCCCAGGTGTGTGGCTTTCATCTTTTCTCTGTGTGTATCTCATATCCCTGAGGCAAAAGTGATAGGAACTATGCAGTGGGATTATTATTGAAAAAAATCCCATCTCCCAATACACTTTTTGTCTAGCCAATGACTCCCCAGTACTATTGTTCTACCGCTACTTTCTCTCTTGTCTTCAGAACAAAGAAAAGAAATATTGTCAGATATACACCCGAGGTGTGAACAAGCCACACTGCTGCAACTGTTTCTCAGCATCCTACCAGCTTAAAGTCTAAAACCAGCTGGTCATGGAGAACCCAATATGGGGCTCACTGAATTATCTGGCAAAAGACAAGCTGGATGGACCTACAGAGCTTGGGACAGTGAGCACATAGTTCTTAGCCTTTGAGTGGAATGACATTTATTAGTTCAGAAATGAGCTGAAGCCTAGTAACTGCTCCCTTCTGGGATCCATGATGGAATTTAACAACGAAAACCCAAGAAAGAGTCCAAACTGTTAGATCTGGTCCTGGACTCAGAGGCAAGGCTGGGTCGCCTCAGCAGCAGAGTGGCATTTTTAAGTTGTAGGTGCCATCTAGTGGCTGTCGCAAACCTTCAGGGTAGTATCAGATCATGGGAAGGTTGTTCCAAGGTTACTTTAGAACTTTTCCTGTTGGAGTTATC